TGTTCTCCATAATGGTTTAGGTTTTTCAAGGTTGAGGGACAGGGAAAATGCTGTGATGATCTGATATACCATGATCAACTATTTCCAAGGACGTCACAATGGTATCATCTACTTTAGTGATGACCAAATCAAGTATATGACCACTCCGGTGAGTCGGGACTGCTACATTCTGTACCAATCCAGAGCTGTACAATGTATTGCTGAATTCTCCCATGAGTACATCATTTGGGTCATCCATATGAATATTGAAATCCCCGACCATGAGATAACAGTGATTTGTACATGTTGACACTTCGATCAAATGAGAAAGCTCTTCTAGAACAATACTTTTAGTTACATTGCTCCTTTTCGAAAATGGCGGTCGATAAATTGCAAGAAGGCGAATAGTCCGACCTCTAGTCGATGCACATAAGTCAAGGAACTCAAGGCTTGAGTATTACTATTACTACTATTATTACTACTACTATTATTACTACTACTACTATTACTACTACTATTACTACTACTACTACCATTACTACTACTACTATTACTACAACTATTACTACTACTATTACTACTACTACTATTACTACTACTACTATTACTACTACTACTACTACTACTACTACTACTACTACTACTACTACTACTACTACTACTACAGTGAATGGAAGTAGACAACTTTTTTTAAAAATTATATTTATCTTGTATTTGTACATTTATTACTTTACTTTATATGTTTGTACTCAATTATGGGAACAAATAAAAATATTTTGAAAGAAAACCAAAAACAACTTTTTATATTTATGTAGTGATTCTAAATATATTTAAAAATTAATGTATTTCATGCAAACTCGTGTTTTACGTTAAGAGCCGCAATGATGTTATATCTAACATATTATTCATTTATGTTACTCGCGCTTTCTATAACCCAGCGTTCTCCGTTTCAGGTCCAAGAGTCTGACCACCGTTCTACAGACGCTCATCGACAAAGACAGCAAAGTACCACCAACCTTTGACGATGGTAACTCGTTGTATTAGTCTGACGGCTTCATATCTTTTCCCTTTCTTGACCTAGGCTAGATAACCCATATGCTCATGACGACTGAAAGGAAACTTCCACGGCATGGACCCGTGGCTAACCGACAAGTGAAAAAGTTTGATGCATGCAAGCAACATGCTTAGGAAATATATGACCTGATCATGAAAATGGAGCCACGGATCTGCATAATTCATGCATGCAAGCATGGACGAATACACGTAAATCACGGACTCCAAATGCACTTCTTGACACTTCCCACTGCAGTCCCATTTGTAACAGAAATGAATTCTTCCGTTGCACGCGAAACGGCTATTGTCCCAACATGCACGCGTTGTGCACATTGAATAATTTAAGTTTACCCTTTTTAGCAATGCGTTAGCAATACTAACCTGACCACAGATCATATACATGTAGGTACAAACACCAGTGATAATTCCCCCTTTCAGGGACGGTGGGTTGGTGTTCCATACACGCCTCGGTTCTCTTTTATAGAATTATTTTTGATTGACCTAAGCCAAACATACTAAAATAATTATTTGTTCTGAAGTTCTTATAGAATTTTTTTTGATTGACCTAAGCCAGACATACTAAAATAATTATTTGTTCTGAAGTTCTCTTCAATGGTATCCCGGAAGCCGTTTAAGGTGTGGATGGACCTCCCCCTAAGTGTTCTCTCTTTTGTACACGCATACATGATTAGTTTACCTTTCTCAAAGTGCCTCTCAACAACACAACGGAATGTCATAGTTGCATCCCATTGGCTTGGGTATTTTACGGACGGTTCACATAAGCAAACTATGTATAATTATCTCAACCAGGAATAAAAAGTTCAAACATGACAAATGAATACGGATTGACAATTAATTGCTGAATTAATTGTATTCCGTTTGAAATTAGTCTTTTAATGGTGATGCAAAAACTCTGAACTGTTAGAACTGGTATTTGACTCTTCAAGGGAGTGCACTCCTCCAACTCTCCCTACAAGTAACGCACCTTACGGAACTGGTCGCGTTAGACCAACACGCATCGTCTATTAAATACTTCAACAGACAACACAAAAAGTTTATTATACTTCTCAGTGACATATGCGGAGTGAACATGCCCGGAGTGCACTATTGTCGGTACAAACGGTACCTCATTACAAAGTGGAATGTTCATTTCTTATATTAGTTTGGTTTGGTTGTTTAACGCCACACTCAGCAATATTCCAGCTATATGGCGTCGACCTGTAAATAATCGAGTCTGGACCAGACAATCCAGTGATCAACATCATGAGCATAGATCTACACAACAGGGATGAGATGAACAAAGTTAGCGAACCTGATCACTCGACCTCGTTAGCCGTCTCTTACGGGTCAGATTTGTTCTTCAGCAACCCATGCTTGTCGTTAAAGGCGACTAACGGGATCGGGGCTCAGGCTCGCTGGCTTGGTTGACATGTCATCGAATCCATATATCAAATGTATATATCCAGAGAAACATTAGCTAGTTAGTGAGTGAGTGAGTGAGTGACTAGGAAAATGAGCTTTGTTTAACAATTTATGCTATTACAGCACTGCCATCTGTTTATGCATACCAATGACTTTGTATATTTCAGAGATACCAACGGAGGTTGAGTGCCAAATATATGTCGACAGTTTCGACTCCATTAATGAAGCTTCTATGGTGAGCACTACATCCATATAATCCTACCTTCGATGCTGCGATATTTTTCATACGTTTGACTCAACTCCGGACCATATCATACATGTCAATCTGTGTCTTATTGGCTTATTGTTCGACTGCTTAATTGACAAACAAGTGATCGCCATCAATTTAAATCCTGCTAGTCCGATAGGGCACTTTCCTAGTCACGTCGTTGGTAAAACAAATGTCTTTAGTAACGAATTATTGTTAAGTAGTGCTGTCCTTTGAACACATATAAACAACAATCTTCAGGAACCGAGTTTCCGAATAATCGGGGCCGACAATAGCAGGGTTTTCACTGTATATAATTGACTGTATATTATATCCGTACGTACATGCAGCCTTAATGGGAGTTATGTTTATGTAATATATGGTAATATAATCTGCCAACAAAATGTGCTCCTTTCTGAAACAAGATAAAAACAATACAATAGCCCGTAAACTCGTAATTATGAGATCCCGTACATTCATATCTTCCAGAATACGATTTATTTGAAGAGTTTGTAATATTGACTATTAAGCAAAGCTTTTCAACAAAACTGAATCTTTGAAGGAAGAAAATCAGAAGTTTTACAATTTCGCAGTTCATCTTTACATGTACTGCTTCTCCTGGTGTACGCCATGTATTCTGTATTACCGTTTGCTCGTCATAATTGCAAATATTGATAGCAGTAAAGTACAAACCTTCACAAATATTCTGGATAAACGCCAAACTCCTTTGTGTCAAAGTATTCATTAATACTAGTATAGTAGTTCATATAAAAATGTTTTTCGATAAAGTAATGTAATCATCAATAGATTATTTTTTTGGTTTGTGCTTTTCACCTCCAGTCAGCCACTTTTTTCAACTTAAAGATGACTTCTAACCTTTAATTGCTCCACCTTTCCTAGGACTACACTGTCAGTCTCCTTCTGCATATGGAATGGTCAGTCCCATATATCAAATACCATTATGACGTACCGTACTTCGAGGTAGACGCCAAGAACAGAGAGAAGATATGGGTTCCAGATCTGTACTTCCCCAATGAAAAGAAGGCGTCCTTCCACAACATCATGATGCCCAACAAGATGATGAGGATCCACAAAGAACACAAACTATCCTACGAAGCAAGGTATTCTTTAGGATGTGGGTAGTGCCAAATACAAAACTAGCTTTTGCAAGATGAAGAACTGTATATTTTCATGATCGTGTTAATACCATGCCATAAATATGTTCACGCGAGGATACACCGAGAACATTAACTCTTCTACGAAGCAAGGTATGTGGGTTGTGCCAAATACAAAGATTACTACTGCAAGATATAGAAGGGTACTGTTTCACAATAGTGTTGATACAATTAGTTTAGTATGTTGACACGAGGATACAGAGAACATTAACTCTCCTACGAAGCAAGGTATGTGGGTTGTGCCGGATACAAAGATTACTACTGCAAGATATAGAAGGGTACTGTTTCACAATAGTGTTGATACAACGAGTTTAGTATGTTGACACGGGGATGAAGAGAATATATAACTCTCCTACGAAAAAGGGTAGTGTTTAAGGTGTGTGTTGGGCAAGTATTTCAGGATAAAGATGGGTATCTACTATTCACGATAGAGTTGATACTATGTGATAATGATGTTGACATAAATATACACTGATAACCATAAACTGCCACACAAGCAAGGTAATGTGTCGAATGCTCTTAGGGTTAGTTATGGATATATAATAGAGATGAGTGAAGGCACGTAGGTGGCGTTAGATGTGTTGGGCAAAGGCTGTAGGCACAAGGATCTATTAGACCATACTGCAGACACCGTATCACATATACCACAGTGTTGGACACACGTACAAGGTACCATCCTTTGCGATATCGGTATCCAGCATGTAACACACTAGAGAATCGTGTGTGTGAAGGATACACTGAGATAGGTAAGGAAGGCCAGCTTCGGGTCGTGGATGCTGATAGCCACCTTATGAAACTGAACCGGATTGAACTTTACAACACGCAAACAGAACTCTAAATCAGTTCTTAAAGAAAATAGAACGCAATGAACCATTGCTATTGTTACACATATAGACATTATAATATATACATTCTATACATCTTTGTGCACTTAGTCCCTGGTACAATCCATTTTATAAGATAAGATTATTAGATAAGTATAATTACTAGACCACGAGCGCAAAGCCACTAGACCCTGACTTGATGTTTTGGAACATTTGTCGAAATGGGATGTTGGCGAATAATGAACGTGCCTTTGTCCCTTAAAGGCGGTGCACATAACAATATTGTTTCGTTTTCCAGACTTTCACTTACGTTGAGTTGCCCTATGGATCTCCGGAGCTACCCGTTTGACAGGCAAATATGTGCAATACAAATGGAGAGCTGTAAGTTCAATATGTGTGTACATGTTAATAAGTAACATTTTATTACTTGCATTGTGATAACTTGATATTGTTGATCAAAAACATGATCGCATTTCTCATGTGATCTTCTCATATTCCTTGTGTTAAAATAAACAGTTTCTATATTTAGGTACAATGGCATTGTCTCCCTTACACTATTATCTAACATAAAGGGGTTTCTTTCACGTCAACAAAGTCTACTGCGGGTTATTGTTGCAATCATATATTGTCATTTCTTTTCTTTTGCCATGACACTGCAATCGTAGGTTTGACACCGAATATATATAATTTGATCGACATATATTTCAATGCTTAGTCGAAGCCCTTGATGTCAGCAGTTTGTTTTATAGATATTCTTTTCCTGGAGGCTACCCTCATGTTCAACTCCATCAGATGCAATATGAATAAAAAAGACTATAAAATCAAACAATTATTAGCATGTTTTATGGAAACTGTCGAAAGCTTCTTTGAGTTGATATTTTTACTTCTCGTTGACATATTGGTAACGATTAATCAATGTAACTAAACTATCTTTAAAATTAATGAATTGTAATCAAGTCTTCACGATAGAAACATAATTTCAATTATGAACGTTGTTCTTCCAGTTGGATTCGATGCTGATAAGGTATTGCTGACGTGGAGGAATTCCACCCCTGTGGACGTCAACACTGAAATAATATTGCCACAGTTTGAAGTGGTTGAGACAGACTATGGAGACTGTCCTCAAACTCGACGTAGAATGGGTGATTAATAATTCCTTGTCTTCTAAAAAGTGTACAATAACCTGATTTTGTACAATCAGCGATGTGTATTGTGTAGATCATAACATGAATAACATGTATCGTCAGTATTCATCACAACATCTACAGGGCACAACATGGAGAGCGTACATCACAATGTGACACCACCGCGTACATCCAGCATGCATAGCGTACATCATGATGACGTATAGTATCCTAAGAATACGCTTATGCTGCCTAACTCGACATTCGTATCATAGAAAACAACAACATACTTTTCATCAGGACATCTGTATCGTTCACCATGTCATGACTGTAGGTCATCGTTATTATTGCATTCATTTCTATTACAACACGTACATTGGTCAAGAGTCGAATACTTATGTGATATGAAAATAGAGGACACTGCTCTCGTTTAATAGATTCTATCCGACTCGCTAATTTGAAACAAAACGAGACACAGGCGGCAGAGTGGCGTCATTTAGGTTTGCCAAAGACCAGAAGCCCGTGATTGTGGGTTCCAATAGATATACATTTGTCAGGTTGTCAAACGTCTGAAGCTTACATTTCTCAAGCTGATAAAGCCGAAATACTGTTCCAAGTTCCGTGAAGCATTCGTTATCATTTACATATTTGTACAGAAGGAAGACGATTACTAGTAACAGACAATTTAAGGACGTATCTTGTTTTATGATGGTGTTGATGCTGATGGTCTCTCTTTCTTTAGGTAACCAAAGCTGTCTCCAAGCAGCCTTCCATCTGGAGCGCAACATCCAATACTACATCGTGCAGATGTACATCCCCAGTATACTGATTGTCATTGTCTCCTGGATCTCCTTTTGGCTCACTGTGACGTCAGTGGCAGGGCGTATCTCATTGGGTGTTTTGACTGTCCTTACCATGACAACACAGAGTTCAGGGGTCAATGCCTCCCTTCCACGTGTGTCCTACACGAAGGCCATTGACATATGGATGTCCACGTGCTTGTTGTTTGTATTTGCAGCCCTAATTGAGTTCGCCGTGGTCAACGTTCTCAGTCGCAGTCAGCGACTGAACGGACCAAGATGTCAGAAGCAAGACACTACTGAGAATGGAAATGTATATAGAGAAGTATGCCATGATGCTTTCCGGTTCATCGCTTGATTGTCTGGTTTGTTTACACGCCACAGTCGTACTGTAGGAGTATTGTATCCGTTATTATAAATGAGTGAGTGAGTGAGTTTAGTTTTACGTCGCTTTTAGCAATATTCCAGCAACATCACGGAGGAGGACACCAGAAATGGGTTTCACACATTGTACCCATGTGGAGAATCGAACCCGGGTCTTCGGCGTGACGAGTGAAAGCTTTATCCACTAGGCTGCCCCATCGCCCGTTATTAAAAAAAGACGTCTGAGGAACTAGTACTATAAGCAGAGAAGTACATGATTACACGTTTGGCGAACACCTGGTGTCATTATAGATTTGCAGAGCTCATTTGATATAATTTTTCATACATTTGCCTTTTACTCCCGATCGGAATCTGTTTCAGCCTTTTTATCCGCTGGCGTTGACGTATATTTCAGTGAAAATGAGGCCAAGTGAATAACGTTCGTGTATGGATGAGCAAATTATGAACAACAATAATGACGGTTAAGTTCTCTGGTAAAATACAAAACAACATTTTCTGTAAACTTAACGCAAATGTTACCATCTGTATCCAGTTCCAGTGTAATAATCCACACTATCATTTTTACAGGAACTGAGCTCATTGCTTTTTGACGTGATAACTTTGACATAATCAACTACAAAAGAATAATGTTATGTTCCAAATCTTCGTTGCATGACCTTGCGGCAAACTATTTCTCAAACAAAAAGCGCGTAAATTCACGGTTCATGAAATGCCTAGTGACATGTTAAAAGTTAAAAAAACCAAGTGTTGATAGGAATCAGGTTATAGTTAACATAAGTTAACATTGTAGTGCCATTGGTGGGTTTAGTCTGAAAGTCGACTTACATAGTATAACGTATATTCTGACAAAGATGTGTCACATTGGCAGTTTTGCACAGGGGGTTCCATAACAAACAAAAAAGTTTGAAACAGATAAAATGATGTTTTCTACGGTTGATTAACAAAGGTCAAAAGGAGATGCGTATCCTCATTTTGTTCTAAGTATGATGATAACTTCATCAAACACAGTCGAACCTTTGTAGTTCCTATCCATTATGAACTTTCACTTATATTTTGATGAAATAATCATTAGGGGTGTCATTTTACTCATTTTGGCAAACGCCTATCGACCCTTGAGGAAGCTCTTGTATTATAATCCACGTGCAATAAAACTGATAATCCCAAGTGTCGAATTAGAATTCCCGAAAGGTCCTTTGTACGTTACTGCCAACTGTTATATCAAATAATTGCGAAATGTTTAATCACATTAGCCCGTTATGTTGTGTTTCAGACTTTCGTCACCCTGGAGGGCGAAGTGCAAGTTGAAGGAAAACCTACACATAGACCAGGACGCATTACTGGTATATCGTGCGCCATGTTTCTAGATAACATGTCGCGCCTTGGCTTTCCCCTGGCGTTCCTATCATTTAACGCCTTCTACTGGATGTACTATTTGTCCAGTGGGCAAAACAAAACTCAGTCAACAACCAGACAAGCAGAAGGTTCCTTAATTTAGCAGGATTGCTAGGAGGAGGACATGCTCGTGCGCTCAACTTTAAACATTTCTGGATAGTATATGAAATGTTTCTACGAATTACTTTTGTGTCAAAAAGCAAGTAATACCATCAGTCAAATAAAAGGTGATTTAATGTATCACGATTTCAAGGATGCCGACATACCAATATTTGTTTCTCGAAAGAATAGGCAATGTTTCTTGTTTCATTAGGGGGAGACACTTAACTGTCAACCAGAGAAATGGTTCCTTAATCTTGCAAGAAAGGGTGGACATGGACGTATCTGGTGTGTTTAAATTTGACATAATTCTCTATAGACGCGAACGATCCATAACCATGTTGTTTCAGCTTGTGGTAGATTGCATCGGGAAACGGATGTTTGGTAGAATTGTCAATATTCAAATTGTCAACTTGCAATACAGCACAACGATCAAAGTGAAAAGGCAAAAGGAGTCTGTTGGCAAATCTCCAGGAAGATCCCAGAAGCAATAGCATGTCTCCTTGGCTCAGCACATACGAACACCAGTTGGATACTTGTGAAGACAGGAACCATGCCAATGAGGAGATTACTGTAACCACTGCGAATAACATTCGTCATTATGATGATAATGTTAATGTGTGTAAATGTATTTGTCGGTGGATGAAGATGCTACGAAACAGATGCTTCGTATAACTGATGTTTCTATGTATAGCTTCAGGTCTTCTGACCCATGTTATCATATGAACGTAGTGTGTGCACCTGTTCACCAGTGATTTTGGTAGATACACATGTAAGTCTCTGAGACATGTGTTATCTTCAATGCATACTAATGTATGTATGCTGTTGAACATCTTCGTAGGATAAACGTGTTATATTTCCTGTCTCCATACTCATATGAATTGTACTGATACCGGTAAATTACCCTTTGGGGTACGGTGACTTGTGAACGTATTTTCAGTAATCTCACAGGTCGTCATACTTTTTGCTTCATTAAAACTGGCCAGTTTGTGACAATTACTGTACCATTGTCTTCATTGCCTCCGATGATGACTATAGCAATCTGATATCATTTGAATGCATTGTAATAAATACTTGTAGATGATGTCAGTCATTTTTCAGGAGGCTTTATGTGATATCTTTCCAACAATAGACAACCAACCTGAGCTAATGTGTCAGCTTGAAAAAAGACACCAACATTTCTGTACAAATTTCTCAGAAGAAAGATAATCAATATTTCATGGCAGCCAGTACGCTGTTCCTTACATCATGTTCTAAACATGACTGAAATTCTTTTTTGGTGGTAGATTAACAGATCTGCCAATTTTGCAATATATTCCCCGTTCTGCGCAAATTGTGTTATTCTCTTACATGATAAATCATTTGTAACGTTTACATTTTGGGGATTTTATGCGATGGCCGCTGTATTTTCTTTAGGCAATTAAAAAGCGGATCTGCACACTCGAATATGTATAGGGTCTAACTTACTAAACAAATCGATTGCAACAGCCTTAAAAAAATATTAAACATTTTGAACCAACATTTTATTTCTTCCCTACACTTATTTTGTATCCAGAAAAAAGTACATGACTAACAATACAAGCCGATAAGAAAAGAAACGTTTGTATACATTGGATTTGAGAAACGACATGGAATGACATGCGCATGCAACAAATAATCAAAGGTCCATGTACTTCAGAACTAACTGAAATGAAAATGGTGAAGACCTTTCCAACTACTCTCAACAGTATTGACTTTGCAAAACAAGATTGTTATGAGAAGAACATACCTATTTGCATTTGTAAAACACGTGTTTAACAAGCTATACGTGGGTGTCAGAATTCCATAGTGCGTGTGGTGTATGTGTTGTGGCGCAACACTATCTTGTTATGCTGTCATCATTAATACCTTCCACAGATAAATGGTCTTTGGATTATTACAGGTTTTGAAATGTGTTCACTTTTCATTTTATTATTACATCGTTGGGATTGTTCTGATACCAGTTTGAGAGTATCTATCATATCTATCGCAAATATGCATACAGATATTTCATGCTCATGCATGTAGGCCTGTGGTTATTTTGGTCTGCAATAAAGTTCTGTGGTTATTTCATGCTCATAGCCTTTGGCTATGCCATGCTCTCACATCGAAGTCTGCGATTATGCCATATGATGTTATTTGGGAATTTACGTATTTCATGTAAGTAATCCAATTTAATCTGCTGGTATTTCACTTTGTCATATTTAACGATGTGGATATTTCATACTGTCATAGATAGGAGGGTGAGTATTTCATGCTATCATATATAGTCATGTGATTATTTCATCTCGGACCACTGCCTATGTCGCCCTCTTACGCAAAGGTCTGCGAGTCGTCTTATCTATGCATTCAAGTATTTGGTGTAGGTTATCACATGTAGGTGTACTGGTCTTTCATGCTATCATGTCTAGGCCTCTGAGTATATCATACTGTCAGGCGTATCTAGGCCTCTGAATATTTCATGCTGTCATATCTAAGCCTCTTAGTATGTCATGGTATCATGTCTAGGCCTGTGAGTGTTCCATGCTATCATATCTTGGTCTGTGAGTATTTCATGCTATCATATCTAGGCCTATGAGTATTTCATGCTGTCAGATATAGGCATGTAGGTATTTCATGCTATCATATATAGGTCTATGAGTATTTCATGCTTTCATATCTAGGCCTATGAGTATTTCATGCTATCATATCTAGGCCTGTGAGTATTTCATGCTATCATATCTAGGCCTATGAGTATTTCATGCTATCATATCTAGGCCTATGAGTATTTCATGCTCTCATATCTAGGCATCTGAGTATTTCATGCTATCATATCTAGGCCTATGAGTATTTCATGCTATCATATCTAGGCTTATGAATATTTCATGCTATCAAATCTAGGTTTATGAGTATTTCATGCTATCATATATAGGCATGTAAGTATTTCATGCTAGGATATCTGTATTCATTCTGTAACATAATGGCCTCTTATATTTCACTCTCTCACATCTAGGTATGTAAGTATCCATATTACAATATCTGGGCCTGTGGATATGCCTGCTATGTCATCTAATCATGTCGATCATCATGGTGGGCACCCGCCAGGCTACGGTGTAGGCGAGTGATCTAGACAAGATGTATTCCATCCTTAAGATCAAGATTAAACAGAAGGAAAACTGAGATCTTGGGGGTCATAAAAGGTCAATTAGCCCGTGATGAATATGAGGTGTTTAATATTGATTACATAAGATGTGTTTGATATTCTATAACACGTTTAGACTGTTGCTGATTGGCTCACATCATTCCTATGATATATTCTTAAATAAGTTACAAGTTTTATATTAGACCGTTCGGAAGATATATATGTTTACATATTGCCGTTGAATGTTGCCGTTAACATAATACCATAATTTATATTTCATATCCATACAGGAACACGTTGTTTTGTATCATCCTGTTTAAACCTGGAAATATTTATATTTATGTGGCGCGTGGTCTATATGGATAACGTATGCTCGTGAACAACATATACTTAAAGCATATTCCATAGTTATGTAAGATGTAGATTATTATACACACGTACATACACTCCAAGATACTAGAATTGTTGTACTATGTAAAAATCAATGTGCTAGTGATAAAGACAAGTCCTTTTGTGTTATTGTCAGTATATGACTGCATCTTTACTTATATTTACCACTATGCAATTATACTACAGTTAAATACTTGTATCATTGTAATAAAATTTCAGTTTCACTCAACTGGATTTATACTAGATATTTCGCGTTGTAATAAATCTAAACATATATTTAGTGTGTACGCTATCAAGGAAACATTGTGGGAAAGTACGGAACCTCGGGGTTTATATCACTGTTATCATGTGTACTTCTATAACTGCAAAGTAAGTAATTGTTAACAACTGTCCACTGTAATTGTCTGTGGGTATACACTAAAAGTTTCAGTGTGTCATTTAGAACACAAATGGTAGTACAGACATGTTTTTAAGGTATCTAAGTGGCGTTTAGAAGTGATGCACATCAGGAAAAGAGTTTTATGGAGGTGACTCATCTGATGAAGGAGTAAGGATATACTCCGCAACTTTGTGTTCCTCATAATAAAGAAGGTGACATCCATTAAACTCTCTTCCTCGTGTTTTTTTCTGTTTTCTGTTTAGATGAGTAAATCATTATGAATATTGTGTAGTAACATGATGCTGAAAGGCGTGTGGCGTAAATTATGACGCCAAAATGATATCTGAAAGATGATACGGTTTTCCCCTTGTATGAACTCTTGCCCGTTGCTGGGCCCCGTTTCACAAAGCTCTCGTAGGCCTAAGATCTCGTAACTTTTCTCGTAGCATTCGTACTTCCTATGTTACAGTAAAGCAGGTACCAATGCTACGAGAAAAGTTACGAGATATTAGGCCTACGAGAGCTTTGTGAAACAAGGCCCAGGATATTAAATAATGATATATTATATACCATGTACTGCTCACTGTTTATGTACACAAACGTTACATTGTTTTACCTTTCTATAATTTGTGTAGATTGCTATGTCATATATTCATTTACAACTTTCATCGACTTGTTTGTTATTTGATGGGTTGTTGTTTTCCTTTCTGATTGGTTAGAATTACGTATTTATGTTACCACCATATCCAATAAATATCTGCTTATTCGATCATACCTCTGTTCTTTTTCACCTACGTGTGTAAATATAAAACGTCAGAGCAAAAGAATATCCAGTCTTGAATATGCCCAGAAAGAAATTCCGTTTGGTGTAAAGGAAAAAGTAGCTGTGAAAATTACATACATGGATCACTGAAAATCAGTGCTGACACCAGGTGTTCGCGAAAAGAGTAAGTATGTCATGTTTTTGTCCAAATACTCAACATGCAGCAACTACATTGATCACAGCTTGAAGACGCTTGGATCTAATCTTGTTTGGATGTCGTTGAAGCTTCTGCTGCAGTTACGACTGCTTCTTCCACATGATATGGCATGGTGGTGTATATATTTGTGGTTGACAACTACTCAACGACCTAAGTGTGCACATGTTGTGTTTGGTGACACGTCTATTTCTACACTTAATAACCTGGGCATCCTTTCACAAAACCCTAAGGTGATCGTAAGTCATTAAGGTAACTTTAGTGCAATGTTAAAGAATGGGAGTTAAGGTTAACCTTAGTAAAGGTTGCTTCGTGAAAGGAGTCCATAGCTGCAAACATGTTAGTGGTTGGAAATACGTCTACAGGAATTACAACTGTTTCTACATTTAATGACCTGTCTGCTTACATGTTTGTGGTTGGCGTACGTGTGTCGGAATGAAAACTACACTTCATGACATGGCTACTTCATGTTTGTGGTTGATGATATGTCAGTCGGAGTCACAACTGTTTCTACACTTCATCACCTAAATGTTTACATGTTGTGGTTGGCATTACGATTGCTGCTACACTTCATGACCTGGGGGTTTACATATTTGTGGTTGGTGACATGTCTTCCGGAATCATGACTGTTTCTACACTTCATGACCTGAGTGTTTACATGTTAGTGGTTGGTGACATGTCTTCCGGAATTACAACTGTTTCTACACTTAATGCCCTGGCTGCTTCCATGTTTGTGGTTGGTGATACGTCAGTCGGAGATACAACTGTTTCTACACTTCATGCCCTGGCTGCTTCCATGTTTGTGGTTGGTAATACGTCAGTCGGAGATTGTTTCTACACTTCGTGACCTGATTGTTTACATGTTTGTGGTTGGTGATACGTCAGTCGGAGATACAACTGTTTCTACACTTAATGCCCTGGCTGCTTTCATGTTTGTGGTTGGTGATACGTCAGTCGGAGATACAACTGTTTCTACACTTCATGACCTGAGTGTTTGTGGTTGGTGATACATCTGTCGGAGATGACAACTGTTTCTACACTTCATGACCTGGCTGCTTACATGTTTGTGGTTGGTGATACGTCAGTCGGTGATACAACTGTTTCTACACTTAATGCCCTGGCTGCTTTCATGTTTGTGGTTGGTGATACGTCAGTCGGAGATACAACTGTTTCTACACTTAATGCCCTGGCTGCTTACATGTTTGTGGTTGGTGATACGTCAGTCGGAGATACAACTGTTTCTACACTTAATGCCCTGAGCTGCTTACATGTTTGTGGTTGGTGATACGTCAGTCGGAGATATAACTGTTTCTACACTTCATGACCTGTGTGTTTACATGTTGTGTTTGGTATTAGACTGATGCTACACTTCGTGACCTGATTGTTTATACGGTTGTGTTTGGTGGTAGGTCTTCCGGAATTACAACTGTTTCTACAACTTAATGCCCTGGCTGCTTACATGTTTGTGATTGGTGACCAGTCGGAGATCACAGACGCTTCTACACATCATGACCTGAATGTTTTACATGTATCTGTGTTTGGCGAAACATCTGCCGGAATCCTGATATTTCCATTCATGACCTGGTTAGGGATACATCTGACGGAATTATTGTTTC